TGTATTTTCCCAGATATTTGGCACATGGGCCCCATGTGGATTAAATGTGGGCATTTCCATATTTACCTGCCCAGGTATTTACCATATGGGGCCCATGTACTTTAAATATGGGCATTCCCATATATATTTGCGTATATATTTGGCATATGGGCTCCATATGGGTAAACCATGGGCAAGGCCCATACGTGATTGCCCAGACGGATCCCATAAGGGAAAAATATGGGGTAGCCCATAAGACTTTTCCCAGATATTTTGCATATGGGCCCCATGTGGGATTGTTACCTGGGATTGTTTACAGCGAATAATAATAAATTATTATCTAATTAATATAAGCAGGAGATAAAATTACATTGAACTACTTAATCATAAACAATAACATGAATAACTAAATTGTAGGAACTGCTCACCTTGCAGAAGTTGCAAGACTTCTTCCTTGTGGTTTTCTCTATTTCTAAAACCATACTCCTCACATTTATTCTTTATATAGAGGTCACGTGGCGTCTGATTGTGCTGTAAAAATAATCACACATAAAACTTAAAACAAATCAAAATCGATCATTCTACTTTAAAAAATACTTCATAGAAAGTATCACGCAAAAATAATCACAAGAAGTATCCTAAAAGAAATATTATATGTACATATCAGTGCAATTTTCTTTTATATCTTGCAAAGACTCAATCATAAGTATTGATTATAAGACCATTCCCTTAACAAAACAATCGCTTGTTGTGCTAATATTACTGTACCGGTGGTCTTCAGAATCTTTGTCAATCAATCAAGCAGCAACAACAGCTAAATAACTCAAGCAAGAATAGATCTAGGATGGGGAGAATTGAATAGGGTGGATAACCTTTCCCACAAAAATACATAGGCCTAGACTAGAGCAATCCCTTTATACCAAGTAATAGAAACAAAGTTAACATTTCTAAAGTCAAGATGCTTTGTGGAGTGGTTTACATTTTACCAAATAACCTACAATTAAGCTCATCTCATTCCCACCCTCATTCACCACAGCCATGGACTCTCTTCTCTCATATTAGGCTCCACTACTGATACTGTGCTGCTGTTAATGTAATCATTATCATCATATTATCAAATAATTTCATCTGGTCTTGTTGATATTATCCGTCAACAGAAAAGCCAACTGCAATACATTCATTTAATAAAATATTTAAGATTCAAGATTGTTACCAAATAACCTACAATTAAGCTCATCTCATTCCCACCCTCATTCACCCCAGCCATGGACTCTCTTCTCTCATATTAGGCTCCACTACTGATACTGTGCTGCTGTTAATGTAATCATTATCATCATATTATCAAATAATTTCATCTGGTCTTGTTGATATTATCCGTCAACAGAAAAGCCAGAATTATTTTATTTATTTGTATGAGACTTCAACATCATTAACAGACCTCAGAATGTGGAAAGTTCTGGGGTCGAGGCCTCCATGAACAACCTGTATACACTACCTAGCCATCCTCAATTCTTTAATCCTAGATCAGCCACTGCTCAAGCTGTAAGCAAATTTTTTATTGAATTGGTCTTATTTTTATCTTCCACATCACCAATGGAACTGCAATACATTCATTTAATAAAATATTTAAGATTCAAGATTGCTTTATTATCATTAACCAAACATGTGATGAAATAAATTCTTCTTGCCTGCTGCATACAATGAAAGACATGGACAGACAGTAAAAGGCAATTCAATTATTGATAAACATTGAAAACAATAAACAGATACAATATTATTATTGGAAGCATCATCATCATAAAATTTTTAAAACACTCAAAATTTATGTATTAATATAAATTATTAGTATTTTATTAATATTACTGTACTATGTTTATACTGTAGGGATATCTCCAAAATACAATTTACACAAACATATTGTATTTCTTATTTAATAGCAGCAATTATGCGACCATACATATTCATACAAATTTGAATGACATTATTTACTCCCCTATATATCTGTATACAGTATTTTACCTCATTCTTTATATTTACATCAGCCCCGGCATCCAAAAGAAGTCTTGCAATATCAAGGTGATCTCTGAATTTGTGTTTGGCTTCTAACAGGTTGTGAAGTGGAGTCTCTTTAAACTGTAACACATTGGAAACAAAGAGAGTGAATCAATAAATGACAGCTCATATGATCATATTAATCAACATTCAAAGGAAATCCACTCTTATTCTTAAATTTTAAACATTAATAATATAAAATACTAGTGCACAATAATACAATTAAACTGAATGAGTGGGTAGGAATACAAACAAAAGTAATTTTTTTCTGCTTGATTCTCTCTCGCCCAGTTCATCACTTTTAAGGATGTAACCTTGGGAGAAGTATTTATTACTTTTTTATTCAGTAATTACTTTAATTTTTTTTATTGTTTGTATCATGTTATGCAAATTGCAATATTTTTTGTATGAATATATTTCATATGAATTGAAATAAAAGTGATTTAACATCAACATTCAATGACTATAAATCAACATAATTAAGAGAAATTGTGATACAAATAATGTAAAATAGTAATTTAAGCAATCATATTTGGTGGCGTATGCAGGTCATTAGTACCTTTGTGGATATGTCCCTACCAGCGATGTATAGGCCTACTTCAGTAGGGTGGGGTATGCTGGTCATAAAGCACTATTGGAGTGATGTTGGACAATATATTAGTACATTGAAGCGCTTAGAGGCTTTGTTAAGGCATTAAGCGCTATATAACAACGACATGTTATTATTATTATTATTGTCACTTGTTTTCTGCCATGATTTATTTCTGTCATGTGATTATGTTGTGTGGATGGCCCACTGGCAATATGAAAGAAATTATATTGAATTGAATTAAATTGAATCTAGCAAAAATCATCAGAGAGACGTGGCAGTGTCAGGGTGGGTAGGGTGTGTAGAAAAAGGGCAAGTAATTAAATTTATGTGAAGTCTTATAGTCATATCCAGGGTCACTCAGTGAGGAGTAGGGGTTCTTGTCTGGAGACAGGGGGGGGGGGTGGCTGTCAAGGTTTACTGAGATGGAAGGTTGAATCAGAAATAATAATAATAATAATAATGATAATAATAATAATATAATAATAATAATAATAACAATAAAAATATTAAATAATAATAATAATAATATTAAATAATAATATATATTTAACCATGGAAAATTAAAAATTGAACAGTAAAATTTAAATACAAAATATTAATGCTGTACTTCACTAATTCCATGGACACAACATGGAGAATACGAAAAAGACAACATAAAATAGAACCATTGTTAACATTAGAAAAATTAGCAAATTGAATGGATTAATATACCCTGGCCTAGTAGACGGTGGCCTAGCCTAGGATAGCATTGACCGCCTGTATCTTAATGCTAAACAAACATTTAGGCCTAGGCCTATAGACTTAATAGGAGGCTACTACTACTAATACTATGCCTATAATAATATTAATGTACATCATTCATAAGACATAGGCTGCTCGACTCCACCAGCCAGGCCTTGCATTTCACAGCAGCCTTCTATAGACAAGCGTCACTAGTCCAGCAAACTTTGGTTGGTTGCATTTTTTTTGCTATATTTTTAAAAAATTGGATATGATGTAGAGTAGACATAGATAAATCAAAAAAGTATGTGCAACATTTTTTTTTTTCATACGTAAGGGGGATTGCCAGCCGTTTCAAAATGGCCGCCATTTTTTCCTAAAATTGTCACTAATATTGTAAGTTTATGTCATTAAAATGTCTTAATGACAACAAACTTCTCCCAGATAACCAGCATGGTTTTCTCAATGGCAGGTCATGTACTACGTTGTTAACTGACGTAGTAACTGATTGGTCTAAAATACTTGATGAACGTTCGCCGCCTCATATTGATGCGATATTTCTCGATTGGCGCAAGGCCTTCGATAAAGTTAGTCATAAAATTCTTTTAAATAAACTTCACAATTATGGTATCTGTGATTCAATGCTGGACTGGTTTAGGTCTTACATGTCCTACAGATCACAGAGAGTTAAATTTAGAGGTGCAACATCTGAGGATATATTGGTTAAATCCGGAGTCCCGCAGGGATCAGTGATTGGGCCAATCCTCTTTAATCTCTTTGTGTCCGACCTCCCTTCCTGCATTCAATCACAGATATATCAATATGCTGATGATACACTAATCTACAGAGTCATCAGAAATAATAATAATAATAATAATAATAATAATAGGCCTAATAATAACAATAATAATGATAATAATGATAATAATAATGATAATAATAATAATGATGAATATATTTTACAATCTGATCTTCATGCTATTACTAATTGGTGTGTGAGAAATAAAATGTTACTAAATATTGATAAATGTATGGTGATGCACCTGACTAGATCCAGAAATCGTCTTGAACGGGATAGTGATTATTTTATTGGAAATGCTAGACTTCCAGTCACCAGTTCTGTAAAGTACCTTGGCATTAACTTGAACAGTAAACTTACTTGGGATGAACATGTCCAATATATTAGGTCTAAAAGCAACCGCATGTTAGGTTTTGTGAGACGTATCGTTAAATGTCACGATAAAGATATAATTTTGAGGTTGTACGTAGCTGTAGTTAGGCCTTTTATAGATTACGGTATTCCTGCCTGGATTCCATTCTATAAAAAAGATATTGCTACTCTTGAGTCCGTTCAAAGACGAGTTACGCGTATCTGCTTTCCGAGATCCACAGGCAGTATCCCGTACTCTGAACGTTTAAAGCGTCTTAATCTCATTTCCATTAGTAATCGTATTGACTATTTTTGTATTAATTTTGTAGCCAAATGTTTATATAACATGTATGATTTGGATGATTTTAAATATATTTCTGTAAATTCCAGACACGCTGACCATCTTAAGTTACGTAATAATTTCATCGCTCGGACTGACAGCTTTCATCATTCTGTTTTTAATTCGTTTGTCAGACTTTTCAGAGGCCTGCCTGTGGATCTCGGTGATCAATTATTATTAACTAATTATAATATTTTTAAATA